ATATATATATATATATATATATATATATATAAGGGAATTTTAGGAGGGACTCCATGTAAAAAAAAAAACTAAAAAAAAAGTGTGTGGGGTTCCCTTAAGGTCTGGTAGGAATTTTAAAGTGGAACCCCACCCCCCAAAAATGGAGAAAAAAAAGAATGTGTGGTCCTCCCTAAAATTCCAAACCAGACCCTTGATCCGAGCACAGGCCTGGCAGGGCAGGAAAGGTGGGGGACTAGCGAGCGCCCCCTCCCTCCTTCCTATACCAGGCCACATGCCCTCAGCACTAGGAGGGCACTTTTCCAAGGTCACCCCTGGAAAAGCACCTTATCCCGTGCCGATGGGGACAAGGGCCTCTTCCCCACAAGCCCTGGGGCGTTGGTTGTTGAGGTGCAGTCAGGGAGGCTTATTCACATCAGGGTACCCCTTTAATAAAGAGGCACCCACCCCCCTTGTGAATGAGTAAGGGGTACTTATATCCCTACCCATTCACTAAAGGGTTAAATAAAAAATTTAAAAAAAGAGGCCAGACAAAATCCTTTCATTGAAAACAACCCAAAAGACATGTTTTTTACAAGTCTTTTATTTTAAAAAAACTGAACGAACTCCCACCGCAGAATGGCATTTTGACAGATGGCGGCAAAATATAAACAATTGTGCGGAGCTAGCGGTGACGGCTAGCTCCGCCCAACTGTTTACAGTTGTACGGCATCTGACAGGTGAGCCATGATTGGGCAAAGTCATCATGACTTTGCCCAATCATGGCTCTTACAGAGTACTGTGCCCCTATTGGGCAAAGTCTTGCACCTGACCTGTGGTCAGATGCAAGGCTTTAGCCAATCAGAACTCAGAAGGCACAGTGCGGTGCACAGTGCCTTGTGGTGCACTCGGCGGGCGAACAGCTTGGCGGGCAAACTCATGCTCGGCTCGAACATCTTGCCCATCCCTAGACAAGATCCCCATGGTTTAGGTAAGTGTGGGTAACATGCAGAACTGTTACACCCTAAATATGGATATAACATGGTGTTAAAGGGGGAATTTCCCTTTAAAGTGTATTTCCACTCTTACAGTCAGTTTGGGATAAAACCTACTTTATATTTATTAAATATTCACATAACAACAAATATTTAAAAATTGCTGCTTACATATTACTTGCTCTTTTCTGAATAAATAGTTTTTCACTAAGCAGAAAAACTGCAAAGGAAGGTGGGTAGTTAATTATTAACCTAATTAACCCTTTCTGCACTGTGCTTGCAGATCTCATTATTAGTTGTAAATTAGATTGGAACACTCAAGAATTCAAGTGTGGGTGTATCAAACAAAAAGCATTGGATGTTAATGAGAGGGAGCTCAGAATGCCCCTAGTCTATACAGTGGGGTACACACAATGCAAATTGTGGCCGCTTTAGCAGGAATTAGCTGAAATTTGCTCCATGTGTACCCTTTTCCATTGGCAGAAGTCAATCATTAGATCAATTCTTGCTGCAGGAACATGTTCCTGCTGAATCGGCTAAATGATTCCTGATGAATCGGCTGAAGTTTGCTGCACGTGTACCCTATTCCATCAGCAGAAGTCGATCCTTAGATCACCTTTTGCTAAAGGAACATCTTGGGAAAACTTACAGCCAATCAGCTGCAAGCAAAAGGCTTTGTTGATGCATGTGACTCGTTAAATAAAGAGGAATGAAAAATTCACACTTTGAAATCTGTGAGTGCTGGTGATCGTCTATTAAACACTTTGAGCTACATGGCGCCATCCGTGTTCATCACAGCGAGCACCATGACTGTGGAAGATCATAACGCTGTATGGAATGCAGGTGATCTACTACAACACTATGGGGTCTATTCACGAAGCTGCCGAAGGATCTAGCCGTAGCTTCGGCCGATCCTTCGGCTAGCTTCGGTTACGGGAGTCCATCGGTTAATCGAACTGAGAGCAGCCGAACATGCTGAGCATGTTCGGCCGACCCGAAGCCACACGAAGCAAGCCGATGTACGGCTGATTTCAGCAAATGTACGGCTGAAATTAGCCGTACCAGCCTGAAGTGAATAGCCGAACAGTGTTCGGCTCACTTCACTTCAGATCGGTCATTCACTCGGCTGCCCTCGGCAGCTTGGTGAATAGACCCCTTTGTGTTTTCTGTAATGTAGCACATCCCCATTGATTCCAATGGGTTCCTGGACGCATGCCAAACATGGGGAAGTAACACAAGTAGCAAGTTCTGCAACACAGTTTTGCGTTTTTTTCCCACACCTTCCCATTCGTGTGCCTTTGTGCATGGGATAAAAAACGCATTTGCTCAGCCGCATTTGGGGTGCCATTATTATTATACAGGATTTATATAGCGCCAACAGTTTGCTCAGCGCTTTACAATATAAGTAATGGCAAACCAAGCACATTCGGCATTTGTGCACGTTATGTGAACGAGCATCAAAGTGCTAACTTTTGTGCTCGTTTGACGCGTGTTCACAATGCGCCCAAGTAGGGATGCACCGATACCGTTTTTTCGGTATCGAGTACAAGAAGCAATATTTTTTTTCCGGTACTGGCCGATACCAAATACAGATTCCAGAAGTCCCATTAAGGAAGCCGGGCGGCGTGTACTGACTACTAGTAATAATTCCTGATTAGCCAGGAACCCCGAACGAGGGAGCATGGAGCCGACTTCCTGGCCAATCGGGAAGCCGCGTGGCGTGTAATCACTCGCCGCCCGGCTTCCTGATACCGGGAGTTCCGCTATCAGGATAAGCATCAGGAGCATTTGGCCGAGTACGAGTATTCACCCAAATATTCGGTATCGGCAAAGATACCGGAACTAGTATCAGTCTGAATGGGGGCTTAGAGTTTTCTTCCACTTTGAAATTGTACAGATAAGCTCCGAAGGCCAGCTACAGTGACACATCTAAAAGGTAAGAAATACATATACATTTTTATATTATTTTTCGGTATCTGGTTTGAATGGGAACACATAACTAACATATGGAGGGGGGTTCTCAAATAATGGAGATACGCGTTCAAAATTTTGTATGCAATATCTAAACTGGACACTAGATGTCGCCGGTACTCTGATCTCAATGCCTCTCTGCTAGGGCTCAGTTAGCGGAGCTCCACTCCCTCGCAGGACAGCTTGGTCTTAGTTTCAGTCTACTATTTGGCCAGAGCTCAGTCACAAGTCCCCCCTCTCCACTCTTCTGTGATCTTCCACTTTGGCACACGAGCCACATCTGTCTAATTACTACCCCTGGCACCTCTGATCTGGGCAGTGGGAGCTGGTGGGAGCCCTGCTTGTAGGATGGCTGGCGGATCTCTGGCTGGATGGAGTCTTTTTAAAGCGCTGCTTGGAGTGCTGCTTCTAACTTTGGTGCGTTGCTATAACATTGATCTGGATCACCCTATTGTGTACCAAGGTCCCAATGGCTCGTTTTTTGGATATTCTGTTCTAGAGCATTACCATGATGATACAAGATGGTAAGTTACTTTTTTGAAACACTTTCCTTTGAACTGTATCTGTTGATCAGAACGTGTGTCCCCATTCCCTTTCATCACTGACCTGTGATCAGATGGAAACAGTGGATGACAGTTCCAATGCTGCTATGTACACATGCCCTTCAGGACTATGCAACCTCCATCAGCTAGATAATAGGTAATCATGTAGCTTCAAAGCCATGTGAACCATATTCCATATAGCTGTGTTTACATAATGGAAGTGATGTCATACATCCTGCATGGGTGCCTATGAATGCATTCATTCTGATGCTGGAGAGAGGGTACTGTATGGAGGGAAGGAGGCTTGACTACAATAAGGAGTTCATTCTGCATCTCTTATCTGATTTCCTTTCCTCCCAGACTCTGTCATTGCACTGCAAAGCTGTGGGAGTTTTATGATGGTCGCTCTGTTTATTGGCTTATGGCTCCAAGTTGAAACTTTTTGTTTAATAGGAGAGTGTTTTATGTTATTGCAGAGTGTGGGGAATGCTTTTCATCATAAGGAATTACTTAGTCCTGTAATCGCTAAACTTTTAGCAACATGTCGGTACATCTTTACGATGGCAATAAAATGACAGTCTGTAAATTGTTTACAAACGCATGTATCTGGTTCAGAAACAGCCTGGCTGAATTTTTTTTTTACCAAAAGAAATTGAAATAACGCGAGGAGTGGGTGGCCCCAATCCCCCCACCTCCTGTTTAGCTGTAGACTGGCTCAGATGTCACCTACTGTAGTTGACCTTCTAGTGAGCCAAAGTTCACAAGTTTTTTTGTGTGTTTCAGACTGGGAACAAAATGAACACTTGGACGTTGTTTAATAGTTTATAATAGAGAAAACAGCCAGTTCCTTATAGAAATATGCAAACAGTTGATTGAGCACTAGAGTTCGGACACAGTAGTATCAGAAAGCCGCCCACAGGACGAGCTGTGACGGCCGCACGGCGCCCTTGTTGCCATGGCGCCCTGTGCGGCCGCACGGCTCGCACACCCCTAAGGCCGGCCCTGGGTCCTGGTAAGGTACTAGTAAGGTACTTAGTGTTTTCAGGAGGACAGCTCAGCAATAGCAGCCGTCATACTTTATCACTACATATGGCAAGGGCAGGGGTGGGCAACTCCGGCACTCCAGCTGTGCTTTAACTACAAATCACAACATGGCTCTGCCTCTGGGAGTCATGCCTGTAACTATCTCAGGGGACTTGTAGTTCCACACACAGCTGGAGGGGCAAAGTTGCCCACCCTGTGTTAGGGTGAGGTTAGGGGTTAGGGTAAAGTTACTGCAAGTGTAAGGCTGGCCATACGCTAATCTTTGTGTTGTGTAAGTAAAATGTTTAATTTCCCCATCTGCATTAAACAGCGCCCCCCTCCCGGTGGGCTATTGTATTCTGACAGCAGGGTGTGCCGCTGTCAGTACACTTAAACAGTGACTGCAGCTGATTGGTTAATATTTCTGTTTGGGCAAGCGTTTTCAAACCAGCTCCTTCAACAAATCAACTTTGGTTGAACAGAGGGGTCACCACACTGGTGAAATGTTAGCAACCAGTGTATGGCCAGCTTAAGTTTCAGGGTTGGGTTTAAGACTCACGTGAAGGATAGGGTTGAGTGTTAGGGTCATCCTAAGGGTTGGGTTCAGGAAAGGTGTTAGGGCATGCAGGGCATAGCTGTCATTCAGATTTTTTTTGTCACTGAAGCCCCCATGCTTAATGCTACCAGTGTTGGGTTTTCAGAGCCAAATAATAGCTTATCAGTGAAAGTGGAATTAATGGGTCTATTTATCAATGTTTTCACACATGATTCACACACTTTTTACCCAAGATTCAATAAAAAGGGTGAATCTTGTGTTAGAGTTGAATGAATCCTGAGCAAAATGTTGATAAATAGAGCCCTGTGTCTTGTAATTCCTGAAGTACACCACTTGCCAATACTTATACGGTGTATTGTACACCTGAACTACCTATAACCTTTCTGTTTGTGCCGAACAAATCACTTTTGGTGGACAGAATGAAAAGCAAGCAACTGGTCCAGTAGATTTAGTGGGTATGTGAATGCATATGCCAGTTACAATGGGGCCACATGTCTTCTTTCACACTTCTATCTTCAGGCTGCAGCAGGTGGCAATCTAGGAACAGCATAACATGGCTGCAGAAAGTAGAGATGGGAACAGCAGTGATTCGGGATAGACAAGCCGGTGATTTTGGCAAGTGGCTCTGACAAGTGCAGTGGTGGGACAAGTCCAGTGGCATTAAAAAAATAAACATTGTTGACTGTCATTTAAAATCTGCCAGATTGCTCTCCTTTATAAATTTAGCCCAACAGCCAAGTTGAATAAAGACACTTTGACATAATTTTTTTTAAAAGCTAATCCAACATTTGCATATTTGAAGGTTTACAAAGCTGCAATTTGTGTTTCCACCCCCAGAAAGCCACAACAAAGGTGTCACCTTCTTTCATTGATATATTTGGGAATTATAGTGGAGGTATTCATGTGCATAAGAGGTGTAAAAGCCACGAACATAGTTCAACCTCTCAGTAACCACGCAAAAAGTGAATGATCCATGTTGGATGGAGCTGGTGTTTCTGCAAGAACCAAACTGTGAATTGTGTTGTACTTTCAGCATGTTATCTTGTTCCCATCATGCCTGCAATTCTATGTGAAATGCTATCCATTCTTCGCTGCCTCAGATGAATTAGTCATGCCATGATTGCTTGCTTTGGAAACATTTATTGCACAGCAAAGTGGACAAATCTGATTGTAATGTGAAAAGTATGACTGTGTAAACTAAACTAACTCGGCTCTCCCAGACCCAAGTCGCCTACCTCTCTAGATGATAAAGTTGCCTTTTCTGTAGTTCTTAGCAAGCAGTCTTGGCAGGCAACTGAAGGCACTGCAGATATTTGGATTGGAGAATGGATGCTGATTTTTGCTCTTCTGACAAATGGGATGTAAAGGGAAACAGATAAGGATCACATCTCAAATTCTAATGAGTCATATTTTCTAAGGTCTGTAATTACCCTAAGACATCCTTTGACCACACCGCGTACCAATTGGGTTGATTTTTTTATTTTATTGCTGCTACATATGATTACCTTTAGACACTGATAGCTAAACCCAGAACAGTCAGAGGAAAAAGGTGCTTTGGACCCACAGAGGGTCACAAAACTCTCAGCATAATATATCACCCTGGTTGACTCCAGAGTTTCTATTTAATGTGAAGGGGGAAACCCTACTTTTTCTTTTTTGTTTCTTTGCCTGGGGTCCCCCCTTAAAACCCATATCAGACCTCTGTTGGCATGAAGGTTGGGTATGGATCTTGGGGTGGACCACACGTCGTTTTTTACTTTTTAACATTTTAGACTGGGATGCCTCAAGATTTTGCATGCTTTGAAAAGGTGTCATGACTGAAAAAAGCTTGAGAAATGCTGATCTAGGTAATGTGCCACTAACACCTCTTCCCTGTTGGCTGGTGGACTGGGCACTCCATTGCATTCTGGTGTATGCTCCAATAGCACATTATATTTTTAAAAGTCCACTTTCCCAAGTGAATTTTGGAAAATGGAATTACCAATCTGTCCCCCTCTCCGCCTTCGCTATATTTATCTTTTGGCAAACGCTCTATCCCCTCCACCGATCCGTACTCCGTGCTGCCATGTAGAGCAGCCCTGCTTTATGGATTTTGGATTTCACATGCAAATGATGAGCACTCATTGGTCAGCTCTGTAACCTGACCTGGGCTTCTGACCACGCTGACCAATTAGAAGCGCTTTTTATTAGAAGCATTACAAAATATCAAAAATCAGTTTAAAAATGTATAAACATAAAAGAAAATTGACCCAAAGCCATTAATGAATGGTTTGGATGGGTGTGAATACAAAAAGGTATCCAAATACATGTCTAGTCCAGAACATACCCCATCACTGCCCTGACGCCACCGTACGATTAATATAGTGTGATGTCTTTTCAACCGTGATTATGTTAAACCCCTCCAGTTCAATAATGAAGAGCTGTACGTCATTTTAGACAACTGCAGACACTTAAGATGTATCCATAGGAATGTTATTTGCAGCACAGAGGCTCTAATGTTCTCATTACATATATATATTGAAGATTGTTCAGCAAGTCATCACTGCAGTCAGCTATTTCTACGTGTATGTATTGGTTAGGCTACCTTTGCTGGAGAAAGGTCCACTTGTCATTTTTAAACAGTCAAAGCAAAAAAAAAAAAGAATACAGGTCAGCAACAGTGATATTGTGCAATAAGATTTTGTGCTACACTTATTGGTCAGCTTTTTATGATTTATGAGAATATTACCGAGTAGTAAAGGTTTACCTCAATTATAAAGGCACACCAATTCACAAAGAAAAAAATGTGCATTTATTATTTTCTAGTATCAGAGCTAGTAAAGCGTTGCAACTGTGATCAGTAGATCACGGGTGCAGTGCTTTGGCTCCTGCAGACTCTTTCTGTCCCTGTCCATACCGAGGTATAGACCCTCAGAAACAGGGGGGTGTATGAATAGACTACAAGTGTGGTGACGACATGAAAGTGTGATGCGACTGTGTTGGAGCCAGTAATGCATTGCAACTGGGGTCAATGGATTGTGGGTGCAATGCTCTAGCTCAGGGGCGTCCCGAGGCTGGGTGAAACCCGGAGCGGAGACCGGGTGACACGTGACCATGTTTCATGCTACACCTTGAATATGGGTGTTACATAAAGCAAGATCCAAAAGGGAAAACTAAAAGTTGGCCTTTAAAAGGTGTCACATAAGCATGCCTGAATGTAGAGGGATGAAATAAGTCTGCTCTATAAATATGGCCTTTAAGCCCCTTTTCTTTTAACATCTTAGTGACCAGTGACGTCCATAATGCGTCAGTGGCCACGGGCCCGTTTAAACAGACTCCGCCGGGACTCTGTTTACATTTGTAAAGCCGACTGTCGGCTGTACAATAGACGCAATATTGGCACCACAGCTGTCGCCAGATTGCA